AAGAGAAAAACACAAGACAGAAAAAAAGGGGGGGTGGGGGGGGGGGGGGGGGAAGGAAGGTGAATGCCTGTGAGTTAATGATATTAGAGGTGGGGAAGGGGAAATGTCTGTGAGTTAATAGTATTAGAGGTGATAATTGGGGAAGCTATCTTTGTAATCACCTCAAATACTATTAACTCACAGACTAACCAGACTAACAAGGCTACATCTCTATCACTATTCTTTTTTGCATCTGGACGCTCTCTTTTGAAAGAAGCATTTCCTGAAGAGCCCTTCCAGAAAAGCTTATTCCGAAAGAAGCCTGCAGTCTAGACATAGCCTAAGATGTCATTTTACTCCCCTGTCACAAGATGGAACTCTACAGATGCACCTCAGAACTCAGAGTCTGCACTGAACAAAGGCAGTGGTTGTGAGTGAGGTGCAGAGAAGAGTTGGGCACGTGCAGGAGACTTTTGGATTACAGAATTTAAGAGCTTTAGGGGGGGAAGGACACTGCCCAAACTGCTTGGGATGGGTCTTGTACTCATGGTTTATGTTTATGAATCCTGTTTATGGTGTTTTCCCAAGTGAATGCCAAGTTATTGCCCTACTTTTCTTAAAAGATTTTTTCTGCAGCCAGACTCTGTGCTTCTGCCCAGAGGTTGTGTGTAAATTTCCCAGATTACTGAGTGGGGGCGTGAACCAGTTCTGTGTGGGATTGTTGGGAAATAAGCCCCTAGATATTGAACTCGGCTGTGGCTGCTGCTGGCTCCACCGGGCAGAAGGTCTACACTCCAAAAGTAGTAGGTATGAATTCCAACTCCTACAATGAAAGAGAATTTAGAAAGAAGGCCAACCACACACTACAGTGCCCTAGAGTACTGAAGCAGTAAAGGGGAATGTATACATTTCCAATCTCAAATGTAGAAAGTAGCAAAGAAATGTAACATGCAAGGCTATACAGGTTCCTTTTCATTAAACTGGTGTTAGTGGGAAAATGCTTTAGAATGAGAGTCACTTCAAGTCACATCCATTTCTGGCTATATTTTAATAAAGATTACCCATGATGACACACATTTATTTTCTTTGTCACTACTGTTCATGTAGAACATATGTTCAATATGAAACAATTTCTAGGGAAAGGAAACAGAACACAAGGGCCTGTTCTCATCATACAAGTGTGCAATCCTCATTGACACTAACAGGAATTATGGAATGCCTAGATAGTAGAAGAGACCTGTAGAGTTTTTGTCACAGTGTCTGGAAAAATACACTTTTAAATGCATTTTTTCTCTTCTATTATTCCTCTGAATTCCTTTTTTTTAAATAAGCAAGCAATGGAAATGTCCCAGCTAGAAGGCCTGTTCTCATCATACAAGTGTGCAATCCTCATTGACACTAACAGGAATTATGGAATGCCTAGATAGTAGAAGAGACCTGTAGAGTTTTTGTCACAGTGTCTGGAAAAATACACTTTTAAATGCATTTTTTCTCTTCTATTATTCCTCTGAATTCCTTTTTTTTAAATAAGCAAGCAATGGAAATGTCCCAGCTAGAACAAAGCATGATGGTTTCTGTATAAAGTACATTTTAATTCTACATTATATTTCAATAGCATACTGTTCAGGAATGCAAGATAGAAGAATGTAATTCTAAAGGGATTTTGGTATACAAAGGCTATCTTCTATTTCTTATCTAATAACTTGGTTATATTACTGTGAAAATATAAATGATTTCATTCGCTGTCTCTCTTGGGTCCCTCTATTTTCCCCAAGAACATTCTGCAGAGTAATTGGCATATCAGCATGCTTCATTTCACTGTGTGTAATTTTTATATCTATTCTCGAAGTTGTTCCTTTCAGCATATCACCACGCAGGCCCCTAGGAGCAGTAATCATACACTTCTCTGAAAACAAAAATGCAGAAAAGTTCTAAAATGTTATTTGGCAGAGGAGGGGGATAAAAACACTTTACATAATCTGTTGTTCTTGCCTTTAGCACAAACAGAGATTTTACGGAAAGGAAATGATTACTGTGGTCTGCAGTGTCAGAAATATGGTATTAAATAGCCTCAGTTATAAGAACACTTAGGGCACGTCTACAATACAGCATTATTTTGAAATAACAAAGTGAGCATCCACACAGTAAGCCTGTTATTTCAAAATGATTGTGAAATAACAGGCTTCTTATTCCAGAATAATAAACCCCTATTTCATGAGGAATAATGCTTATTTCAAAATAGCGGTAGTGTGAACGCTCCACTGCAGGTATTTTGAAATAGTTCCTTGCCAAGGCCATTCAAATTAATTACTCCCTGTGCTTCCTGCATTTCTAAATCGAGGTAACACATCCATATTAGGGGAGCCTGCCTCAGACTCATTTTGTGACTTCCTTGTAGTGCGAACAAGCTATTTCAAAATAGTTATTCTGGGAGTTATTATTCCAAAATAACTTATTTTGAAACATCCTTGTAGTGTACACATAGCCTTAGCTTTAAAGATACTCCTATTAATAAAACAATAATCTGATATAAATCTTACTCATAATGAGTAAACCTTATTCACACAAGTAAACTTCATTCGGATCTTTCTTACATCACTGAAAACAAGGACTAACTATTAAAGTTAACACTTTCAGCAGTTTGAAAACAGTGTGAGATCAGAATCAGGGCTATTGACTTAAGACTCCTGCACAACCAACCAGATATATGCCATGTCTTGTTTCCATGCTTTGCTAATGAAACCAGCCTCACCTGGAAAAAAAAGTTTGTGTTGTGCCAATTAAAAAGGTAAATGGAATGACTTAAGTAATTACAGGGCTGTCAGTCTGAAGTGGAATTTAGGCAAAGATAATGGAGTTTCTGAAATTGAGACTCAATATAAACTAAAAAGTGGATAAGTTATTTCATGTAAATCAACATGGAAACATAGAAATTGTAATCTATCAAAATAACTTGATTTTTGTGAGATTATAAAGGCAATAATGTTGACATCATTTATTTAGACATTTACAAGGTGCATGACTTGGTACCACATATCATCTTGATTAAAAAATAGAACATTACAAATTAATATGGCACACATTAAAAACTGGCAAACTGAAAATGTAATTGTAAACAGGGAATTATCATCAATCAGAACTGTTTCCAGTGGATCCCACAGGGATGGGTTCTTGACACTACACTATTTAAGATTGTTATCAATAATCTTGAAGAGAACATAATATCATCACTGACAAAATTTGGAGATGACACAAAGGGGGAACTAGTAAATCATGCAGAGGACAAGTCATTGATTCAGAGCAATCTGGATTGCTTGGTAGACACGGACATAAGCAAAAAATGTTTTTAACACAGCTAAATGTAAATGTACATCTGAAACAAAGAATGTAGGCTATATTTACTGGAGTGAGGAACAATTTACCAAGGATCATGGTGAATTCTCCATCACTGACATTTTTTTAAATCAAGATTTGCTTTGTTTCCCCTAAAAGACATGCTCTAAGAATTATTTTGAGAAAGTTCTATGGCCTTCATAATACTGGAGACCAGAACAAATGGTCAAAATGGTCCATTTTGGCTTCAGAATCTAGTAATACCATTTACATGCTCTCAGTTTTATTTGGGATTTTCTTCTGAGCCTTCCACTGTGCATGGAACAGTCACCACTCTCAGGAGTGAAACCCCTTCTCCTAATTTGAATTCCTCCAAAGCCTATTACACTAATTCTGCATTAGCAAAACTTGAAATATGTGCCCTCGTCTTAAACCAGCAGCATCTCCCCTGCTGCCCTGCTATTTGTTGTCAAAATTACTCCGAGAAAATTGTGCAGCTCTTTGTAATTTGATAGCTCCTCTCTTTTCTTATAGGATGAAGAGGTAATGTTGGCATTTCAAATATCACCGACATCACTGAAGAAATCACCCAGTGAAATAACTAAGCAAATGCACATACAAAACTTTGAGCAAATTCACATATTTGCTCTCTGCAAATATGGGCAGAGACCTTTGTTGAAGTTTCACTAGTTCATATTTCCAAGATTTTGTTCACAACCATAATAGCTTGAGGCTTCCTTTATTTTTTAAATGAAAGCTGGGACTCTGAAGAACAATTAAGAAGCCTGTCCACACCTTCATGCTAGTTTTTCACACTTCTTCCCAATAGGACACATCTCATCCCTTGGAAAACATTTCACTAACCAGCAACAGCCAAATACATTTCTTCTCCATGGCAACAAATTCTAAAGATGGGAAGAAAATGAAGAATAATTCAAACTTATTACCTTCTCTTTTGGGGGTACTCAGGTGCACTCCACTGCATACATTTCAGGGTTCAACAAAAGAAAGATTGACAGATCATTCCCCCATTTATCCTGCAAATATTTAATATTTGTTACATATTTTTCTCATAATCCAGTCTCACTAGCTTCAACGAGATTTTTCAGTGTATAATCTTATTTGTGTATTAGAAGAAAGGAATATGATGAGCTCAGATAATGTATCAATGTGTGCAATTTTACTGTAATTTGTATGATCAGATGGAGGAAGTTTACTGCAAGATGTATAGACACACTCATTGAACAACAGCTTGTTGTCTATGCACTGATGAGAAAATAGATCCCAAGAAATACATCTCCTTCCCTGCTATCCCTTTCAAATAACTTCCTTATGAAAGCACAAATATAATTATAAGTCCCCAACAACTGCTATTCTAAAATATTAAAATCATAATTATTTTCCTTCTTTCATTAAGCTAATACCAAGCATGTAATGATAGTTAGGAGCATAAACTGGTTGTGTTTTTAAATGAATAAAAAAATGAAACACTACCAGCACTTAATCTTTGAAATTGCAGCAGGAACCCACTTGTATGTTTAGGACCACAATCCCTCACAATAGCTACATCTAGACGGACATGATTTTCCGCAAATGCTTTTAATGGAAAAGTTTTTCCGTTAAAAGCATTTGTGAAAAAGAATGTCTAGATTGGCCCGGACGCTTTCCCACAAAAGCACTTTTTGCGGAAAAGCGTCCGTGCCAATCTAGATGCGGTTTTGCGCTAGAAAGCCCCGATCGCCATTTTCGCCATCGGGACTTTTTTGCGCAAAACAGTTTTTAGCTGTCTACACTGGCCCTCTTGCGCAAAAACATTTCCGGAAAAGGGCTTTTGCCCGAATGGGAACGTCAAAGCATTTGCGCAAGAAGCACTGATTTCAGACAGTAGAGCGTCAGTGCTTTTGCACAAAATCAAGCAGCCAGTGTAGACAGCTGGCAAGTTTTTGCGCAAAAGCACTTGCTTTTGCGGAAAAACTTGCCAGTCTAGATGCAGCCAATGAGTATTGCCTTACACCAGGGGTCTCCAACCTTTTTGAGCATGAGATCACTTTTTGAATTTCAGTGCAATCCAAGATCTACCTCAACCCAGATACCCTTGCCCCACCTCCTTCCTGCCCCTTCTCAGAGGTCCCACACCTACTCACTTCATCTTCCCTCCTCCATCCTCACTCACTTTCACCAGGCTGGGGCAGAGGGTTGAGGTACAAGCTCTGGCATTGGATTAAGGGATCTGGAGTGTGAGAGGGGCTCTGAGCTGAGCTTGGGGCAGGCAGTTGGCATGTGAGCTTCAACTAGGCACTGTTTACATCAGGTGGCTCCTGGGTAGTGGTGCAGCAAGGCTAAGGCAGGCTCACCCCTACCCTGGCCCTGCACCACTCCTTAAATCAGCCAGCAAAGTCCATCCCAAGTCTTGTTGTGCCCCCTCTCTGCTCTGTGGAGACAGGAGACAGGGAGGGAGAGGGGGTACTTTGACATCAGTGCCTTCCTCTCCTTCCCCTGCACAGCACAGAAAGTAGGAGGCTTCCCAGTGGCAGAGGCAGCTCCAAGGCAGAGGGCAGGAGCTGTGCAGCAGTGGTGAGGAGAGGCAGCTGAAGTCAAGCCTGGCCTTGACTACCGGGCTTTGCGCCCCATCATGGTTGTGATGCCAGGGCCAGATTCAGCAGACAGACTTTGTGCCTCTGATGGGGCTGAGATGGTGAATTTGACCCCAGCTTTGGGGACCAGACTCCATGCCCCGGCCAGGCTGAGCTACCAGTCAGGCCTCAGCCATAAGGCTCCGCACCCCTGCCATGTTATGCTGCTGGACCCAGACCCAGCTCTGTCCCACTCCCAACAGCCAGACTCTCAGAAGGGGGCACCTTCTGGACCACTGATGTTGCTGGACCAGAGAGTCCCAGACCAGAGGAGTTTGACCTGTACCTCACTGATCCTTGATATTATTGTGTGGTGTATATATGAGTTATATATATGAGCTAAAATACTGATGATTAATAACTGTGAAACATATGTATTAACACTATACAAGGAAGTATGAATACTCATTGATATTATGCTTTAAAGTTTGTGACCAAACAAAGGGGGAAACAGGAAAGAAGGTAGTTATCAAGTATCAACAGGTTCTGTTCATTCCCTCTGAACCACATGTTTTTGGCCACTGTCAGAAGACAGGATACTGAGCTAGATGGATACTGAGCTAGATGGACCTCTGGTCTAACCCATAATGGCTGTTTTTATGTTTGCAATGAAATTAATCAAGGTGTGACCAAAAACTATGGAACCCTTGTATGCAATAGTGGGGTGGGAAGTCCACAAGCAGGAAACGACAATGTAAGGTCATCCTGAATCTGGGAATGAAACAGTGAATATGGAAAGATATAAGGACAGAGCCAAAGGGCTAGTGGCTCTTGACAAGCTACAAAAGGTGAGTAGTGACAGAGTGAAAAAGGCAAGTGGTCATGTATTTGTAAGATATGGGATTGCTGCTTGTCAAAGCTACTTAAGTTTCTGCCACTCACCTATATGTGGCAATTTAACAGAGAACAGGAAGACAGTTACAAATGATAGAAAAGAAAAAGTTGTTAGGCAGTGAGTTCTTACACAAGTATTGGACTGAAAGAAAAAAAATTATGACTCACTCTTTTTCCTGATTTTGTGTGTCAAATAAAGACAGCAGCCAGGAATGATACATGGAAATGGCTGTGAATAAATAGGGGGAAAAAGCTGTCTAAACATTATTTTTAGAATAAACAGAAGCACTTCATGTGAAAAGACTTACAATGTGTTCTCTTCACCTAAGGCTTTAGCTTTTTTGACCTTATGAAAAGTTTAAGTATAGTAGATAATAATATGGGGGGAATCTTATTCAATAGTTTTCCAGAGATATTAAACTATTAGCTCACATAGTTTAATGTAATTAATAAACAAGTTATTTTTAAATAGGTTGAAAAATCAGATTAAGGGACAGATTCTGATTTTAGTACTTCATAATGAAATGCATTTCCTATCAAATTCCCCACTGTGCCAAAAAGGAATGGTTGAAAGATTTTCATTCTTTATTGTGTAAAGATTTCAATAATAGAATCATAGGATACTAAAACTGGAGGGGATCCCGAGAGGTCATCAAGTCCAATCCCCTGCCTTCATGGCAGGAAAGCCTACAGCACCCAATATTCTCAGGAGGTCTCCCAACCAAGTGCTATCACATTCTATCTTCACTACTGGTACCAATACCTTTACACAGGGTGATTTCACAGTTTTTAAGTATCAACAAAGTTAAACTCCAGGAACCCAAAGGAAGATTATAAAACCAGTGAAAATTATAAAATAGCTTAAAAGTTATACTGATTTTTAAAAGGCCTGTTTGATGTAACCATGTACAACTTTCACACACAAAAAGTTATATGAGCTATATGTGTTAGCGAGTTCTATGAGTTTGAGAAGGAAATGTAGTATTTCCCTTACAAAACTTAATAAAATAAGCCCCCCATTAAAAAACATTTTCAACATAACCATAAATAAGAGTCCATGACCAGTGCTACTGCTCTTATAACATGGCCGGACCTTGTCTTAGCATTCAACCCATTTGAATCACACGGACTTCAAGAATGAGACACATTATTCTGATTTATATCTTAATATTATCAGCTTCAACATATTAGTTTTGTGCTTAATTTCCTTAGCAATTTGCTTTTAGTATGAATGTATATAGGCATTGAATTGCTATAAACCATATAGTGTTCGTGTTGTGTCCAGAAGCAGCATTGCCTAGTGGTAGTGGCTAGCTCACTGGACTGTGATTCCAGAGCCTGGATTTTATCTGGAGTGACTTTGGGGAGTTATTTTGCCTCTCTGTTCCTCAGTTTCTTCATCTGCAAAATGGAGATAATGATACTTATCTTCTTTGAAAAGTGGAGATAATGTTACTTATCTGCTTTGAGCTCTACTGATGAAAGAGATAGGAACTATTACTATATAACAGCTATGTATTATTATAACACGGTTGTCCCTAGCATGGGCAAAAGCGTATGTCTTAAGTATGAGAAAACTGAACTTCTTATTTAGAGTCTCGAAACTGTGATTTATGTCATGGGTGTTTCTAATCTGTCTCACCATTGCCAGTATGTAGCACAGAATTCTAACACCAGCTAGGAAACAAGTACAATAGCAATTTTGCAGAAGAATCAACAACCCCAGACAGATACAGAAAGCAAATACTGCCCAAATTACTCTGTTTACTTTAGAGCTCCCAGCCACAACTCCTGGGACTCCCTCCCTGGTTGTTTCTGTTCTAATGTTGGTACCCTCTTCTCTCCATCTCATGTTTTTCTCTTTCATTTAATAGATTATCTTCTTTTGCTTTATATTGTCTTACACCAGGTCAGATTCAATTAGAAAAATCCATACTACATCTATAATATAGTAATTTGAACCAGACAAAAAGATATTTGGGGTATTTACCTAACACAAACACAAGAGTTACCAATGAATCTGACTTGTGCACTCAGCCATTTTTATGTGTTTTCAAAGGATTCCATCTTGACCTATTTATTTTCATTATGAATAGTAAAATTCATCAGTGTTTTGGGATTTTTTTTAAAGATTTTTTCTTTAGCTTAGATGAGATGTGCCAAATATAATTCCACATCAAATAGACAAAGTTCTCAAGTGCCATGCTAAGATGGCAATTAGTATACATGAAAAAATGTGCTAAATATTTTGGAATATAATTTGATTTTACAGAGTGATTTTCTAACGGTAAGTATCTCAGAGCTAAGAATCTTCAGCTAGTAGAGAAGTTCATGGAGGATAGTCTCATCAAAGGCTAATTCTTTTTTGAGCCTAATTATATATCCTGGGCTATATGAGCCTTTGGTCTGACCCAGTATGGCTGTTTTTATGTTCTTATATACTTGTGGCCTTTACCACATTCCTTGGCTATGAGTGTGCAGGTTGCTTGCGCATTGTGTAAAGTGCTTTATTTTGTTTTAAACCTGCTGTCTATTAATTTCACTGGGCAAGCCCTTGTTTTTGTTTTTCTATACCACAGTTAATAGTTCTGCTATTTCATATCTGAGTTCCTTCAGAACTCTGGAGTGAAACCCACTTAGTCCTCGGGATTTATTATTGTTTAATTTATCAGTTTGTTCCCAAACTTCCTCTATTGACACCTCAGTCTGGAACAATTCCTCAGATTTGTCACCTAAAAGAATGGTGCAATATGTGGGAATCTCCCTCACATCCTCTTCAGTGAAGACTAATGCAAAAAATTAATTTAGCTTCTCCACAATGGCTCTGTCTTCCTTGAGTACTCGTTTAGCACCTTGATCACCTAGTAGCTCCATTGATTGCTTGGCAGTCTTCCTGCTGCTGAAGTGCTTTAAAAATTGCTGTTAGTTTTAATGTCTGATGCTAGTTTTTTGCCCTTCCTAATTATACTTTTGCACTTGACTTCCCAGAGTTTATGCTCTTTTCTATTTTCCTCAGTTTACCTTAACTTCCAATTTTTAAAGGATGCCTGTTTGCTTCTACCTGCCAGGTTACGTCTAGATTGCCTCCCTTTTTCGTAAAAGGGATGCAAATTAGACCTATCGCAATTGCTAATGAAGCAGGGATGTAAATATCCCCTGCTTCATTAGCATAAAAATGGCTGCTGCTTTTTTTCGGCACAGAGCTTTGCCGGAAAAAAGCGCCAGTCTAGATGCGGATCTTTCAGAAAATAAAGCCCGAGGGGATAAGGGATCTTTTGGAAAAGACTTTATTTTCCGAAAGATCCGGTTAAATTATCTCCCCTAAAAAAGAAATCTCAATGCTGGAAGGTGAGAGCCAAGCAGATGCTTCCTAGAGAGATGATATAAAGCTTTAAAAAGGACAATGAGCTGTCAAGAGACCCCCATATAGAGGAGGCGATCATTCAACCAAGAAGTCCTGCTATTGAAATGGCGAGAGATTCTGGTTGTCTGCAGGTGGAATTGAACCTGCGACCTCTGGAGTTTAGAACATAAGCTAAAAGCCAAATGGGTCTCAAATAAGGCTATAGAGCAGACTCAATTTTCTCTCTGTAAGTGGTCTCAGTTTCACTAAATGGGACAGCATACACCCAACAGGTATGTGGGTTACACTATCACAGACCGGGAGTAGATCATTGAACTAAACTTTTTCAGAAGATCAAAATAAAAAAAAATATTTAGATATGTCTCTGAAGAAAAATGTTTAGGATGTTTCTCATTTTGCCATTCAATAATAGCCTCAAAGTGTAATGAGAATTTTGATTGTACATAAGCTATTTTCCTTTATAATTGTGTATTATTGCTTCAATCCTGCAAAGACTTAAAGATAAGCAAGTGCATAAGTCCCTGCAGGCATGTCTACACTAGGAAATTATTTCAAAATAACTAAATTTGAAATGATAACTCCCAAAATAACTATTCTAAAATAAGCTTATCCCCCAAGGAAAGCAGGAATACAGATTTTGAAATAACCGTCCCGTTATTTCAAAATAACAGGCTTGGCCATGAGGACGCTCCACTTATTATTTCAAAATAAAGCGGGTTATTTTGAAATAGCTCTCTATTGTAGATCAGGCTGCAGGTTCTGGGCTTATATTTTATATCAGGAGGAAAAATCTCTTAGACCAGCTACTCAGTATTGTTTTTAAATGAACACAAAATAGTTTCCATCAGTCCTAATAACAAAGTTTCATGGCAAAAAAAGATAGATTAAAATAAATGTGCAAGTGTTTTTGTAAAATTTGAATGTGTTCAGGCCTGTAGTTCAGAAGAGGTTGTAGGCTTGCAATAAGCAGGAATTAAATGGAAAGTAAGTTGTGACAGTCTGTCAGACTTCACCTGGAAGTGCAGAATAATTATAAAATCAAGTTACCTTAACCCTCAAGAGTATAGCAAATTGAGCAAAGCTTTAAGAAATCCAGTTAAAAGTGTGAAACAATCAAAGTGTGAAAAAGCTCATTAGTACTGTAATCTGCATGCTCATTAGTACTGTAATCTCCTCATGGAACGAGGTGTACCATGGAAGGAGGTGTACCGGTAGTTCGGAATAGGAAGCCTAATCCGAACTACCTAGTTCGAGCCGCATGTAGCCGTGGGCACGGAGTCCGAACTAGCGGACATTTAAAAATGGCGGCGCCCGGCAAGATGCAAATGAAGCCCGGGAAATTCAAATCCCGGGCTTCATTTGCAACTCCGATTGCCTACATTAACCACCCTAGTTCGAACTAGGTTGGTAGTGTAGACATACCCTTAGACAGTTAAAACTTTATTTTTACTACAGTTTGTTTAAGCCCCACTCCTACAACTTGATCAATGCAAGTGGACCCCTGAGCTTTGTACAGAGCCCGACTAATTTCACAGGGTCTCAAGCTCCATTCAGGTGTGTGGGTTTGGCCTAAGTTTGCAGAATTAGAGCTGTCATTTGCATCTCACTCCTCTTGGACAGTGAAAACAAACTGGTAAGTTTTTGTTTGCATTTGTTTCCCCATCCACTTCAATATTTAGTAGCCCAATATTTTTATTGTGTGTATTCACTACACTGCAGGATATATTTTTAAATTATAACTAAGCAAACAATTTTTTTGGTTTATTGACACTCAGATGTGGAGACTCAAAGTCACATCCCTACTCCAATTATTAGCTAAATATTTATATACAGCTTTAACA